AACTTCTGTGCAACAAATCGAGCAGCTGATTTGCTGTGCGGACATAGTCTTGCCTACAGCAGAACAAAATATGTTCTTTGGCCACCTGCAATCTAGTTCTTTTCTGCTTGTCTTCTTGAAGTTGTGCAATGCCATTGCTCTCTGTCCATAACTAGAGGATATGAGGTCATACCTATCTGGTAGCAGATAGAACATGATGGACTGCAAGAAACGCGTTCATACCTCAGTCGTAGCAGACACGCTTGAAGGACTGCATCTCTGCTTAAGTCTGTTGCGCGAACAATTTAAAAACTACAGCCTGCCTGCTCAAACAAAGCAAAGCCGTGGCACCTGCTGCAAAATTGTACAAGCAAAATGGGGGCATATACATTATTTTTTATTATTATTATTATTTTTATTGTTATTATTTATATGTATATATTTATACCTATGTGTGAGGCATGTTTGACCAGAACTCGCCCGCCATTCTTGCGAACAAATGGAACCCTGCTGGCCCTACTTTTCCAAGCAACTCAAGAAACATGGGAAGGCAAGCTGCTTGCATTTCTTGCTCAGGGCTCCACCGCAGTTGTTTGATGAACGACATGCAGTTGGGGTTCTGAGGTCCGTGATGCTGAAGGGGAACACGGAGTCCGGCCGTCCCTTCGACCGCTGCGTGGGAGGGAACCACCTGATCCACGGCAACATCGCTTTGCCGCCGGACCTCAAGAGCTTGCAGCTCGAGGCGAAGAGCGCGCGCGCCAATGAGACAATTCTGTTGGAGACTGAGGTCTCCTCAACAGGTTTCTTTTTCTTCTTCTTCTTTTTGTTTAATGGTCTTTGTTGGTGGCTGCAAGAACGCAAACCACCCTATTTTTCGGGTTTCGTATTTTGACATCTCACTTGCGATAATTTAGAGTTTGCAGCTGGAGACGGGTGGGGGTTGGAAGGCGGACCCGAAATCCAGGCTTTTTTGGCTCGCTTTTGTACAGAACTTTAGGTGTTTGACTGGTTGGAGCTCAATCACTTGAAGCAGCAAGCAGCATCGATCCTCACGCTAGTCGCTTTTTTCGAGAGTTGTCAAATTAGAGAACCCTTTTTAGGACCCGCTTTGAAAGGCACCTTTTTTGACAACCCCTGGTCGTTTTTTTGTATCCCCTTTCGACCTTCATTTTGCACTGGTTTGTAAGCGCAAGCAGCTTGGGTCGGTAAGACAGGGTCGCCTCATGAACCCAAAGGGTGTGTGCGCGTGTGTGTGTCAATCCACGGTTCCTTGCTACGGTGTTTGACACACCAAAGAAGGCGGCACTTGGGATGCCTTATGAATCCGACTGAAGGGAAACTACTGGAAAGCAGCCATCAAGTTTGGGGCACACCCACATGTGTGTCATGGTCAGGTCCGCTTGCTCAGCAGGAATGGTCATGGACCCTTCGGGATTTTGGACGGCGCCGTTGCAAGGCGTTGTATTGAAGGAACCGCAACCATGGCCAACAGAAGGAGTTTTGCCTAACCCTTTCATGCTTTCCAGCATATCCCAACCAACGTTAACCCTGTTTATTTTCCTTAACAAAAAGAAAAACAAATATAGAACCCACGAACCCGAAGGCGCATCACTTTCTCACACGCCACAAGAAGAGTTCCCAGTTTCGCACTTGCGTTGTCTCGGACGCAGGAGCCGCAGCGGAGACGCCTCTCTTCTCTTTCCATTCTCTTCTTTCTTCTCTTCTCTCTGTTTTCTTCTCTTCTTTCCTCTCTCTTCTCTCTTCTTTCTTCTCTCTTCTTTCTTCTCTCTTCTTTCTTTTCTCTTCTCTTCTCTCTTATTTCTTCTCTCTTCTCTTTTGTTCGCTTTCTTCTCTCTTGTCTTCTTTCTTCTCTTCTTTCTTCTCTTCTTTCTTCTCTTCTTTCTTCTCTTCTTTCTTCTCTTCTGTTCTTCTCTTCTGTTCTTCGTTTTTTTGTCTTCTTGTTTTCTTCTCTCTTCTCTTCTCTCTTCTTCCTTCACTCCTATCTTCTTTCTTCTCTTTTTCTTTTCTTCCTGCTTCTCGTCTTCCTCTTCTTCTTTCTTCTCTTCCTTCTCTTTTCTCTCTTCTCTCCTTTTCTCTCCCTTCCTCTCCTGTCGTCTCTTCTCTTCTCCCTTCTCTTTTCTTCTTTTTTCTTTTCGTACTTTGGCACTTAAGAAATACAATTTTCGAGCTGCAGCTCTAGGAATATTTGTGGCATTCTACTTTCGTACTTAGAACATGCGATTTTCGAGCTGCAGCTGCCGGAATGCAATTCGCGTACTACTGTCGTACGTAAAGAAAAAGTGTTTTTCCCGCTGCAGCTCCCAGAATGTACTTCGCATACGACTTTAGTACTGAAAACATGCGATTTTCGAGCTACGGCTCCCGCAATGCACTGCGCGTATTACATTCGTGCTGAAAAACAATCGATTTTGGAGCTTCATTCGCATTGAAAATGCTCCGGAATGTACTTCGCATACTACATTCGTATTTGAAAAGTATAACTTTCGAGCTGCAGCTCCTTCGCGTGCTACTTGTCTTCTTTGTTCCTCTCCTCTCCACTCCTCTTGTCTTCCCTTCTCTTGTTTGTTTCTTCTTTCTTCTCTTTACTCTTCTCTCTTCTCTTCCCTCTTCCCTCTTCTTTCTTCTTGTCTTGTCTATTGTCCCTTCTCATTTCTCTCCTACTCTTCTCTCATATCTTCTTCTCTCTTCTGTTTTCTCTCATCTCTTTTCTCTCTCCTTTTGTTCTCTCTCCTTTCTCCTCTTTTTCTCCTCTTTTTCTCTCTTCTTCTCTTTTCTTCTCTCTTCTTCTCTCTTCTTCTCTCTCTTCTCTCTCTCTTCTCTCGCTTCTCTCTCTTCTCTCTCTTCTCTCTCTTCTCTCTTCTCTCTCTTTTTTCTCTCTTCTCTCTCTTGTCTCTCTTCTCTTGTTGTTCTTCCATCTCTTCTCTGTCGTGTCTTTCTTCTCTGCCTTCTCAAACTTCTCTCCCTTCTTTCTCTTCTTTCTTCTCTTGTCTTTCTTCTCTCTCTTCTCTGATTTATTTATCTTCTTTCTCTTATCTCTCCTCTTGTCTTTATTCTCTCTCTTCTCTCTCTCTCTTCTCTCTTCTCTCTCTTCTCTCTCTCTTCTCTCTCTTCTCTCTCTTCTCTCTCTTCTCTCTCTTCTCTCGCTTCTCTCTTGTCTTCCTGCTCTCTCTTCTCTGTCTGCTCTCTTTGTCCCTCTTCTTTTCTCTCTCTTCTCTCTTCTCGCCTTTCTCGTCTCTCTCTGCTCTCTCTTCTCTTTTCTCTTCTGTCTTTTCTCACTTTTGTCTCTCTTTTTTCTCTTCTCTTCTCTCTCTTCTCTTGTTTTTCTTCTATCTCTTCTCTTTCTTCTCTGCCTTCTGTAACTTCTCTCCCTTCTTTCTCTTCTTTCTTTCTCTTCTTTCTCTTATCTCTTCTCTTGTCTTTCTTCTCTCTCTTCTCAGTCCTTCTCTCTTCTCTCTCTTCTCTCTCCTCCTTTCTCTGTTCGAGCTTCTCCCTCGCTCTTTCTCTCTTTCTTTCTCTCTCTCTCACTCTCTCTTTCTTTCTCTCTCTCTCTCTCGCTCTCTTTGCATCTCTTGCGCTCTCTCTCTCTCTCTCTCTATCGCTCTCTCTCTCTCTCTCTGTCTCTCTCTCTCTCTCCCTCTCTCTCTTTTCTCCTTCTCTTTTCTCTCTTTTCTCTTCTCTCTTCTTTTTCTCTCTTCTGTCACCTCTCTTTTATCTTCTATTTTATATATATTCTTATATTGCTTTTCTCTCTCTCTCTCTCTCTCTCTCTGCTCGCATCTCTTCTTCTCTCATTTCTTTCTCTTTCTTCTTTCGGCTCTCTTCTCTTCTCTTCTCTTCTCTTCTTATTTCGTCTTTTCTTTCTCGTCTCTTCTCTTCTCGTCTCGTCTCTTCTCTTCTCTTATCTTCTCTTCTCTTCTCTCTCTTGTCACCTCTCTTTTGTCTTTCCTCTTCTTCTTTCTTCTCTCTTCTCTTTTCTCTCTCCTCTTCTTCTTTCATCTCTTCTTGTCTCTCCTCTTCTTATCTCATCTCTTCTTCTCTCCTCTCTTTTCTTTCTCTTTTCTTTCTCTTCTCTGTCTTCTCTCTTTTCTTTCTCTTCTCTGTCTTCTCTCTTTTCTTTCTCTTCTCTGTCTTCTCTGTCTTCTTTTCTCTCTCTTCCCTCTTCTCTCCTTTCTCGTCTCTCTCTTCTCTCTCTTCTTTTTCTTTTCTTGTCGTTTTGCTCTCTCTTCTTTGTCTTCTCTCTCCTCTCTCTTCTCTCTTCTTTGTTCCAGCTTCGCTCTGCCTCTCTCTCTTTCCCTCTCTCTTGTCTCTCTTTTCTCTCCTCTCTTTTCCCACTCTTGTCTCTCTTCTTTCTCTCCTCTTGTCTTTCTTCTCTTCTCTTCTCTGTCTTCTCTCTCTCTCTCTCTCTCTTCTCTCTTCTCTCCTCTCTGTTCTAGCTTCGCTCTCTCACTCTCTCTCTCTCTCTCTCTTTTCAATCTTCTCTTTTCCTCACTTCTTTTTTGCTCTTCTGTCTTCTCTCATTTATCTTCTCTCTTTTCTTTGTTCTCTCTTCTCTCTCTTCTCTCTCTTCTCTCCCTTCTCTCGCTTCTCTCGCTTCTCTCATCTATTCTTCGCTTCCTTCTCTCTTCTCTACTTCTCTCATCTCTTCTTCTTTTTTCTTTCAATTATTTTCTCTTCTCTCTCTCTCTCTCTCTTCTCACTCGCTCTCGCTCTCTCTCTCTCTCTTTCTCGCTCTCTCTCCATCTCTCTCTCTCTCTCTCTGTTTGTTCTCTCTCCTCCACTTCTCTTGTCTCTTCTTCTCTCTGCTTTTGTTTCATCTTCTCTCTCTTCTCTTTTCTCTCTCTTCTCGCTCTTCTTGTCTTTATTTTCTCTCTTCTCTTTCTCTCGCTCTTTTTCTCTTCTATATTCTCTCTCTTCTTTCTTTCTCTTTTCTTTCTCCTCTCTGTTCTTCAATCCCTTTTCTCTCTTCTCTTCTTCTGTTCTTCTCTCTTTTCTCGTTTCTCTCTTCTCTTCTTCTTTCATTTCATCTTCTCTTTTTCAACTCTTTTCTCGAGTCTGTCTTCTCTTTTCCCTCTTTTCTCTCTTCTCTCTTTCTTTCTCTCTCTCTCTCTCGCTCGGCTCTTTTGTCCTCTCTTCTCTTTCTCCTTTCTCCTGTCTGTTTCCCCTTTTTTCTTTTCTCTTCTTCTCTCACCCCTTCTTCTCTCTTTTGAATTGTTTTTTCTCTTGTTCCTCTCCTTTCCTTTCTTCCCTTGCCTTCTCCCATCTCTTCTCTTCCTTTCTCTCCTGTCCTTTTCCTTCTTCTCTTCTCTTCTCCTCTTCTCCTCTTCTCCTTGCTTCTCTTGCGCCTTCCCTTTTTCCTTTGCTTTCGCTTTTTTTGGAAAGTACGATGATCGATCCGCAGCCGGAAAAGTGTACTTTGCGTACAACTCTCGTACATTAAATTTGAGATTTTCGAGCCGCATCTCGAAAAATGCGCTTCACGTTTTGCTCTCGTACTTACAAGATACGATTTTCGAGCAGCAGCTGGAAATGTGCACCGCGCCACAGCGAGAGCGATTCGACCCGCCCAAAGTGCACAGAGGGTTCACTTTATCAACATGTGCACCGCGCCACAGCGAGAGCGCTTCGACCCACCCAAAGAGTGCAGAGGGTTCACTTTGCATCTTCAAAATGTGCACCGCGCCACAGCGAGAGCGATTTGACCCGCCCAAAGTGCTCAGACGGTTCACTTTGCATTGGCGCAATGTGCGCGGCGCAACATGACCGTGAAACCTTTCCCCAATGGAATGGCAATGAATTCGCGCCCAAAGTGCTATTAAACCAGGTCAAAACGAGCCGGTTGTACGACAGGGCCAACAAACACGACACTCAAGCAAACGCTTGCGCGAGCATTCCAAGCAAAACACCTACGACCACCCCGGAAAAGCGAACCCCAGCGCATTTGCAACGCAAACGTAGAAGAAATTTGCCCTGCGCAGCGAAACGGCAGGTCGAGCTTGAGAAGCTACTCGCGCACAGGGCCAACGAAAACAGCGCATCGCAAGTCATCAAACTCACACGTTCTGCGCTTCCCCGCTGTATTTGAATTTTGGACCCTGCGACAACAATATCATGGAATGTTAAAGCACCCCCTAGCTGACTACCCCCCCCTCCTGGAATTAGGGATAGCCCCTTATTAAGGCCTTATTAGGGTCTTAATAAGCCATTGTTTTTATGTTAGCAGAATAAGGGCAAAATAGGGGCTAGTGCTTCAACCTTTTTCGTCACCACTAGTTTGGTCGTATTTTGGGCTGAGGTCCGCTGAGATGTCAATGTCACGGGATGATGGGTTCCGGACTCGTCTGGGTGCCAAACAAGACAAGGTTTCAGAAAGACACAAACTCAGTCACGACATGTGCAGCACCCGCTCCAGCTGAATTCAATCGAATCAAGTTCTCACAAACAAAAACAACAGGAGGAAATTGTCTAGCGGAGCTTCGTGTTGCAACAATATTTTTGTCCTTCTGTTGGCCTGCCTGAGAAATCTTCAGATGCCGTCGGGGGTTGCCCATTTCGGCCTTATTTGGGCCTTATTTGGGCCTTGTTTGGACCTTATTTTGGCCTTATTTCAGAAATCTTCAAATGCCGTTGGGGGTTGCCCTTATTTGGGCCTTATTTGGACCTTATTTGGGGCTTATTTTGGCCTTATTTCAAAAATCTTCAAATGCTGTTGGGAGTTGCCCTTATTTCGGCCTTATTTGGGCCTTATTTGGACCTTATTTGGACCTTATTTTGGCCTTACTTTGGACTTATTTCAATTCTCTTATTTGAGCCTTGTGTTGGCTCGATTGCAAATGTTGAAATCAGGTGGCCTTATGGTTTGCTTTCTGTTTGACTTTAGGCAGGGTTTGGCCCTTCCTTTGACATAGTTTGTATTTTTTTGTGGGGGAAAGTGAGCGTCAATCAGTGGTGAGTAGTGAGCTGTGCAGAAAATGCTCTTACCACACGCCAGCGCAATCCCAAGTATTTGCATTCTGCTACCATGTGGGGTCCCAGGGAGTGGCGTTGGGCCGCTTGAACGATGGAAAGCGTCTGCTTGGCAAGGTCCGAGTTTGGCTTGTTTTAGCTCAGTCAAATTAACTTCCGGGGGGGGGGTAGTTGGCTAGGGGGTAGCTAAACATTCCATGACAATAACGCGACGAGCCGACGACGAGCCGACCAACACGACGCGAACAGGGGTCCAGCCCCCAGACTCCCAGACTCTAAACGGGAACCCTTCGCTACGCTTTCGGGAAAAATATTATATATTAATAGGGGGCCGTCCTGATTTTAGTAGCGAATCATCTAGGGGACCCCCCCCAATATTAATAATCAGGGGCTTATTAATCCCATTACATGTCTAGATGTGTCTAGCTTAGATTGAGTGCATTTCCAGCTCCATGTTCAGATTTGGTTGCTTGCCCAAAATTGCGAAAGGGGAAACAGATGTGGCTTGTCCCCAGGTAAGCCACAATCAACACATGCATGTGCAAGTAAATGTATGGGACTGTCCCAAGAATAGGTGGGTATCGGGCCGTGTCAATGTAGATGCTACCAGGCTTTGATTCTGATTCAGGTGGCGACCCTGAATATCCCCTATGAGATGCCAAGAGAAGCTTCGCTGCCGGACCGCTTCAGCACAGTCTTTCTGCCCAAGAATGTGACTGGAGACTGCGAGCGCTACTGCTTCCAGCACAAGAAATGCGACTCAGTCAGTGACAAGAATGCCATGTGTTTTTCAGATCTTCAATGTCATTGTTTCAGGGGTCCAACTAGACTTTTGCTCGAGCACGACAAACGCAACTGGGTCAGAGACGTATCTTTCTTTCTGGGGTGTTGTTGTACTGGTTCGACCGTGGCCGTGCGAACAGCGTAAATCACACTCTTGGAGAGCGCGCTTGACATGGGCAACTGCTTGCGAGCTCTTCCGCTCTGCATCGATATCCGTGTCTTGCAAAAGCGGAAACCCTAATACGGTGCGGTGGCTGTCCCTTTGGTTTCCCAACAGCAGACACACTTCCATGACTGGAAAAACCGCAAAGGGTTGGGCAACCCCCAATTTTGGGGAAGGGACCCCCCCTTTGAAGGGAAGGAATCCCTACCTAAAAGGGTTTGCTCGAGCTTCGCCACCCCAAACTCCCTTCCTTTCATTAAAGAAAACCTCAGGATTTGGAAATCCCTTGGAAGAGAAACCTACCGCCAGGGATAAACAGGCTCTACCAAATGGATGCCGATCGATTGCACCAAAGGACAATCATGTCTTTTCCGCATCAGAATCTTGGAGCCCACTCAACGGATCTGAATTTGGAGAGATTGGTGGCTTTTTGGTTTCCTTGCTTCCCTTTCCACCTTTCCACCCATCTATCGGACATAACGGGGCTCACATTCAGGAGACTTGCTTCAGGTTTTGGATGTATCCCACCGATTCAACGGGTCGCCTAGACGACTCGATTCGCACAATTCCCCCTGTTTCACCTAAGCATCACCCCCAGGGGTCCGAAACGGCGCTGGTTAAACCACGAAAGGGGGAAATATGGGTATGTGTCAAATTAGGCAGGGCCCAGCCAACCGGGTCGGGCTTCGGCATGCTCCCAGTGAACTCAGCTTGTTGCTCAGTTTCCCAACGCGAATCGACCTTTTGACCTTTTGACGTTTTGGTTACCCCTTGTTGGTCCATTTTTAGTCAAGGTCCCAAAAACTCAGCCTTTGAATTCCGGGTCCTTTGAGCAACTGAGGTGGTTTTTGCCTTGTGTTCGTTTTCCAAGCTAGTCGACCTCTGGCTCCTTGGGGCTCGTGCTTGCGCGTGAGGCTACGAGTCGAAGGTCCGGAGCTCCGCGGGATGCTTTTTCATCTTCGGCCCGGGCAAGGCCAGATGCCGGGAGATCCACAAGTCCCAGCGCCAGCAGGGCGCCGCCTATCAGGCGAGGGGCGAGAGGGGGGGGGACACGTTTGTGCAGGTGGAAATTCCATGTCACCCCGGTTCATAGAGGCTAGGGTAGTAGGTGATTGGTTTGGAGTTGGTACCCTTGTTAGCTTTGTTGAAATGTGTCTACGCGATGTTGTTTGGAGCTGGTGCCCTGTTCAGTTTGTATGTTAGCTTGTTTTGAGTTGGTGGCCTTGCCACATTGGCGTCCAAGTGAAAAGAAGAAGTTGCCAAGTCCAAGAAGCACAATGACATGGTTTCAAGGACAACCGCTTCTGCAGGAAAACCACCAGGAAAACATGCTCATTTCCTACCGTTTGACCCCTACACATTCGGGCAAGGTGCTTAAGCCAGAATGGGTAGGTGTCAAATTGGGGAGGCCCTCGAAATTGTGAAGTCCCTTCTTTTGGATTCCCGTTCGCCACCCCCACAAAGGATACCCCTCAAGAAAACACGCCTTTGAAATCATGGAACAGAAGGTGTACATAAGCCTGAAATCAAGATACCTTTGCTTTGGGTCTGGTCTGCAAGTCTGTGGGGAGAACTTTTGAAGCGCCCAACACTCCCTTTGGTTATTTTAGTAGGTTCTTTTTGGTTTCATGGAGCTTAAGGCCTATACAAACCCTTGACCCCATGTCTGGATTGGAGCCTTGCCAGGGGCGAAATGTGATGAAGGAATTAGACCCTGGTCCCCCTAAGGAAAGCCAACAGCAGCTTGGGTTGAACAGTTTGCGGGTTGAACCATGCTTTGAACAAGGGGTTGAATCGCCCGACCTTGGAGAGACGAGGATATGGCGAAATTCCCCGCCCGTCCCCAACCGGTTTTGTCGGTAATTCGGGCGGGCTAATGTTTGGGTTAACCTACATGGATTCTAACAGATAGGATCCTGTTGGGCGGTACACACACGATTGTCCTTAGGGACCTTCTAGCACCCAGCACCTCGCGGAGTTGTCGAAACTTGCGGAGGCCTTCTTCGGGCATCGGCACATGTCTTCACCGCCCAAAAGGGGGGCGGGTTCCTTACCACATTTAGAAAGACCACCTGCCCCGGTCAGCCGATAGCGGGAACCGAGTTCGCGGGTCACCGGGCTTTAACACCTTTAATGTTGACCCGGGATGAATAAACCCGTCCCGCTATTAGGGGGGGTGTTCCCTCCAAATGTGATGAATCCCCACTAAAAGGAATCCCCACTAAAAGGGGACACCCTGTATTAATCAACCAGGGGTTTATTCATCCGCTCACTTGCCCAAAGCCAACCTTTTGACCTTTTGATTCCTCCTGTCTGGTCCATTTTTAGTCATGACCCCAAAAGGTGATCACCTTTTATTCCTGGGTGGCAAGTGAGTCCGGGGTTGACATTGGGATGTTCAGCGAGCGGGAAGCCGACCGTTAGGTTCTCAACAAGCTGCACCTTGGGGCTGAGCTTTGCCTCTCCTCGGGCAAGACCCTTGGCTTGCAAGCGGAAGTTGCAACCCCAACCCCCCCGAGGCCCTCCTCCCAGTGTTTCTTCCCCGGAATTAGCTCCCCGCTTTCGTTGTTTTTCCCCCCCTTTTTTGGGGTCCCTTTGTTTTCCACTAACCAGGCAAACAAACTTTTTTTGCTGGGGTCCTGATTCCAGCATAGCTTTGTGGTGTGTTTGTTGTTGGGCTTAATGTGTTTTTTGGGGGTGGCTTTTCCGGCCAGGGTTTCTTTGTTGGCTCGGCGTGTTATTTTGGTCCGAAAGGAGTTTTTTCCCCGTGTTCTGCCCAGGGTTTCATTGTTGGTGTGATTCCCCTTCAAGGTAAACCACTCGTGTTTTATTTCGGGTGCAGGTTGACCTTTTTTTCCATCCTCGCTTTGTGTTGGCGCGGTTTCCCGCCTTTATGTTGGTTTGGCTTCTATTTAACTTAAACCATCCCTGCTTCCACGCCTGTGTTACCTGTGCTTGCTTGGGTTGGTTTCCCTTCATTGCAAACTACTCCTTTGTTTGGGTCAGTCCCTTTGACTCAAAACGTGTTTTGATTTTGGGGTGGGTTCCGTTTGACGCAGACAAAAAAAGCAGGAGCGAGTCTGATTTCTCCTTGTCGAGGTGGGATTTCCGGAGATTCTCGGTGGGTTCCTGTTGTCCCCTTGGATGTTCAACTAGTGTAGTAGCTTACCATTGGTATAGGTGGGGTAATTTGGGGCTAGTCAAAGTATATGGTTTCAAGAACCACGGATTCGAATCCCCAAACCAATCCAAAGCACTTGAGGAGACCCTGAAGCTCCACCAACCCTCCGCCCCAAGGTTGGGTTCCCGTCTTTTTGTTTTCTCCTCGCTGAGGCAAGCCAGGAACTTGCAAGGCTGCCTAAAGCTGGATGAGGGCAAGGGAGTCTTGGTGTCCCAAGTGCTGGATGTCAAGAACTTCTCCATCAGCCAGGTGAGGGTTTTGCAAGGTCAAACATATGGCCGGTTCTTTTTGGGCCCTGGTTCCGCCTGCCGTCCTTTAAATTGGGATACCCAAAAAGGCCCCCCAACTTTGAGCTTAGAGGCTTAGAGAACCCTGGGTATTCAAAGGGGGATTCCCAAAAAGTGGGCTGCGGTGTCCATCGGTGTCCTTGTGGTTTCCCTTGAAAACCTACCCGAAAAAGGGTACCCACCCCCCATTCTTGCACTCTTCTTGTGCATGTTCCAAGGCCAATCCAGTTCTGCACCTGAGTGGCGTTCAACTTGTACTTTCCACAAGCTGAGTTGGACCCCTTGAAAAGTACCGATTTATTAGAGATGGTCCAACCCAAATCGCATTCGCTGGGGCCGAGTAAGTGTTTGAGGTATTTGCTTTCGGGTTTCAGGTGGGCTTGTCGCTGAAATAGAGGAACTGACAGGACTGGTTTTCCCTGCGGTGTCGCTTCAACCAAACCCTAGACAGCATGCCCAGGTGAGGTTTGTCCAAGCTTGGCTGTTGACTTCCTCGCTCCACCCTACCGAAAGCGTACCCTTAAACAAAGTGCAAGGTTGGGTGTTCCAATTTCAGCCAGTGGAGCTTTGTTGTCAGCTCTTGGGTAATTTGTTCACAAAAACACGGCCTTCTTTGTCTGCGGCAAGGGAAATCTATATTTTAGGTTTGCCTAGAGGACACCCAATGGAAACCAAATTGTTGCCCTTACTTTGAAACACACCCAGGGAAGATTTGCCAGAAACCTTTTCGGTACAGGAGGGCTTTTCTCTAAATCGGGCAACCCCCAACGTTATATGGTCGAGTTCCAGGAATCAAGCTACCCCTGGCACTTTCTGTAACACCTTTTGGCAAAGTGACCTCGGTCATACGAATCATCCCGTTCTCCATGGTACGGGTTGATTCAGGCACCGGTCCCAACCCGAACCTGAATCTTGGGCGGAAACTAAACCCTTCTACCTTTTTGCGTCTTACCCTCCCTTTGTAGCTTTCATGTGAGTCGCCCCTCTTCGAAACCACAGCACCGCTGTTTGAAACGAAAAAGCTACAAAGCCCCACAGGTTGTGGCTTCCTCCAGTCTGTTGAAATCAATCAATCCGTGTGGACCTCCTTTCCGGTGATTTGGCCAGCTCACCTTGAGTTTGGCTGGAAAGAACTGGTTCCCAGCATGTTGTGTCTCCGTCGTTCAGGTCGAGTTGCGATGTCAAAAAGGTGTTTGGCTTGATTTGCCCTTGTATTTTTGTTCAGGTTACCCGGTGGTGGTTGGAATTTGGAACTTGAACCACGGTAGAGAATAAACTTTTCAATGGGAACCTGCCCCGGAATATCTTCCCACCAGGCCCCAAACCACTGGGGGAGGGTCTTTGGGCATCCCCTTTAAAAGGGCGGTATAAGATGGCACCGAAAAGAAGACGTAGAATTCAGCTGTTGCTGGCCCCAATGTATTCTTTGAGGGGCCCGCAAAAAGCAAAAAACACGGGAACCGTATTTGCGACATCGATCTTGAGAGGTGGCTTTGAAGACTCACATCGACTCGAGTGGCTCAGTCTTCGACTTGGAACGCAGCTCCCTAGCCAAGCTTTGGGTTTTGTGTTTTGCGATGCGAGTGTCTCTTGTGGGTGCCCTGATTGGGGTTTCAATTGGAAACCAAAAGGAAAACCAAAATCCATTTCTGGGGGTACCCTATTTGCTGACACACCCATGTTTACCCTCTTTTTTTCCCTGTTGTTAATTTCCCCCTTGTTTATGTAGCTGTCCATTGTTGCGTGCTTGTCTTTTCTGTTCCCTCTTTTCCTTTCCTTCCCGTAAAGTCAACCAGCAAATTCGAGGCGCCGCTCTTCTTTCCCGCTGGAACTCCGCGCTTAGGCTCCATGCACTTGTACAACGGCACCCCGCCGGTGAAGACCATTCTGGTGAGAGCACAGGCAGGGCTTTCGTAGGCTCAGCTTTGGGTCAATCTCTGAAAGGGTTCCATCTCTGGAAAATGGTCCCGTTTGAGTGTAGCGATCCGACCCTCTGAAACTTACCTGGGTCAGGTGCACCCGTTCAGAACCCATGGCTTCCTTCGGTTTCTCTGACCGAGGACACTGACATGGATGTGGCCACAGAAGTGGTCGTCCTAGACGAGGGCTTCAACTTCGAGGTAAAGCTCTTGTACCATTGCCCACAAGTGGACAGATGCCACAATTCCGACCCATCTTGGTTTGGTCGAAACATCCCCTGTATTTACCCACATAAACGGAATTGTGCCGTTTGCTTTCACCCTGGTGTAGCCTTTTTGATTTACCTTGCTGGGGTTCATGTTCCCTTTCAACCGGAGGTGTAAGTCTGGCTAAGGTACAACCCAACATCTACAAATTATCCCTGGAACCGGAGCAGGTTCCATTTATCGTTGTCGGCCATTGTGGAGGAGCACGGTTGCAAAATTTGTTTCAATGAGTTGCCATGGAGTCAAACAAGACATCCAATATCATGGTCACTTAAAGGATATCACCTAAATACTAGCTGATTTAGAGGATCCATATCCTTGTATCAGAAATATGGGGACTGGCTTGCATTTGTGGGGTTCCCTAATGCTGCTACAACAGACCTATGCAAGTGGCAAGCGTCCAACATGTCCAATCCTGAGGATCCAGCGTTCGTCTTTGAGTGGGAGGATTCAAATGATCTTCTTCCGGCGCTGGAAGCATTGTCAGACTTAGCCTTTTTTCCTTTCGGCGGTTTAGCATTTTTGGCGGAGCCATTGCCTTTTTAGTTGTTTGCTTTTAAGCTAGCTTTTTCAGTTTTTCCCTTGCAAACATGGTTTCATATTTTTGCAGGGAAGCCAAGGCCGGCAAAGAATCCAAAAGATATCCTCAGTGTGACGACGAGTTCGAGCTCAACAGCTGCCTGGCAAAGCTGTCCGCTTCTTTCAGCACGATTCTTTTCATTCGCCAGTGCTTTGTGCCACCCGAGGTGAACATGTTGTGGATTTATTGTTTGGTCCATGTGTCCGGCCTGAAGAGACAACAACAAGTACTCGTACAGTTGGTTGCCAAAGCATTGCCAGTCAGCCAACCAAATCCTTGCCCGCATCAGCGATTTTCTTTTGCGTGTTTGCCCTTTCAAGTGTTCATCATGTTGCCGTTTACTGAATCTCGCTAAAATGTGTTGCCTTTCAAGGGATTTTAACGGACCATCAAAATTAAACCCGCAATAGGCTGGTTTGTCTTGTTGCCCAGCGCTCTTTGACTCGTGGCCATAGGCCATGGCTTGCACAGGGATCCCCTGTGGCGCGTTTGGTTCGATGCAAGGTTTTGATTTGGACTCACGGGAAAGAAAGAAGACAAAACACACACACCATGTTGAGTCCCCTGAACGCACACGTGTGTGGTTGCTGCTTGTCCCAGTTTGGCACCCTCTCAAGCCCTGCTCGGTTCCCAACCCAAGGATCAACCCCAAAAAGAAGTGGTTGCGTTTTGCCTGAAAGGCTCGCTGCTTGAACCTGGAGTGTTTGTTTTTTGTGTGCGCTCCTTCGCCACGTGAGGCTACCAGTCCTGCGGCGGATTCTTCGCATCTCCCGAGGTGAGGTACAGGGTGGACGCCTGGGCTCCTAAGGCGCTCCTCCGAGGAAAGATACGCTACAAGATGGGCAAGAAGCAAGGCACGGCTGGCTGACGTTGCACATGTGGAAGTTGCAGTTCGCTTTTATTGTCCACAACCATGACGTAAGTTGCAATTGAAGCTGCTTTTGTTTGGTGTTGGCCTGAAGGCAGTTTGGAAGTCAGTATCCTGGGCACTCTCGAGGAAAGGGCAGTTAGTAAGCTAGTATGAACTACTATGACCGACACTTTGACTGGTGCTCTTACTACTTGTGTTACGTACTTTTGCTACTTCTTCTGCCTACTTGTACTTCTTTCTATTTCTACTAGCACTACTGCTGCTACTGCTACTGCGGCTCCACCACCACCAGCAGCACCACCACCACCACGCCTACTACTACTACTCCTCCTCCTCCTCCTCCTCCTCCTCCTAGTACTACTGCTACCGCTACTGCTACTGCTGCTACTGCTACTGCCACTGCTACTGCTACTCCTGCTGCTGCCACTGCTGCTGCTTCTGCTGCAATCACTCATTTTTACTGCCACTATCAACTCAAAGCCTAGTATCCCTAGCAATACAACTACTTTTCTCATTTCTTCAAAATACTTATTTAAGGTATTTTGTTATTGATCCTGGCAGCAGTATTTGTTGTTTGTTGGCTCTTCTTCACGCTACGAACACCGGTACTACGACTATCGGCTAGTAGGAGTAGTAGTACTAGTAGTACTACTACGACTACTACTACTACTACTACTACTACTACTTCTACTACTACTACTACTACTACTAGTACTACTACTACTAGTAATACTACTAGTACTACTACTACTACTACTACTACTACTACTACAGCTACTACCTGCTACCCACAACCGACTGCTACTACTACTACTACTACTACTACTACAGCTACTACCTGCTACCCACAACCGACTGCTACTACTACTACTACTACTACTACTACTAGTACTACTACTACTACTACTACTACTGCTACTACGACGACGACGACTACTACTACTACTACTGTCACTACTACTACGCCTACTACTACAACTACTAGTACTACTACTACTATACTTACTACTTACTATCTGCTAATTAGTACTTACCACTTACTGCTTACTACTTACTATTTGATATTTACCACTTACCACTTACTACTTACTACCTACTACTACTACTACCACCACTACTACTACTACTACTACTACTACTACTACTACTACGACTACTACTACTGCGACTACGACTACGACTACTACTACTTCTACTGCTACTGCTACTGCTACTGATACTGATACTGCTGACACTGATACTGATACCGGTACTACTGGTACTGCCAATCGCATTTCCACGCGTCTCTTGCTTTAGTGTACGGATCTAGTTGGCGAACTTGCTAAGTTCGACAAGGTGACTTATAAGGGGGGGCAAGTCATGTTATAAGTGGGCTTAAATAATGCATAAGGTCCCCTCACTTATAACTGTTTGGCAGATATAGCGGGCAGTTAGCGCAATTGCTTCTAAGTGCTTGCTGCGGACTTGGCGGGAACTTAGCAAGTACATATAAAAACTTAGCCAGAACTTAGCGAACTTAGAAAATGCACCCGGCCAGTGACCTCGGAAGGGTGTCAGAAATGCACACACGAAGCCTTATATTCTGTGCCATGTTTGCCAGCTCCAGACTGGCAGCTGCCAGCTCCACACTGGCAGCTGCCAACTCCACACAGGCAGCTCAAGACTGGCAGCTGCCAACTCCAGACTGCAGCTGCCAGCTCCAGACTGGCAGCTGCCAGCTCCACTCTGGCAGCTGCCAGCTCCAGACTGCCAGCTGCCAGCTCCACACTGGCAGCTGCCAACTCCACACAGGCAGCTCGAGACTGGCAGCTGCCAGCTCCAGACTGCAGCTGCCAGCTCCAGACTGGCAGCTGCCAGCTCCAAACTGGCAGCTGCCAACTCCACACAGGCAGCTCGAGACTGGCAGCTGCCAGCTCCAGACTGGCAACTGCCAGTTCTAGACTGGCAGCTCCAGACTGGAAGCTGCCAGCTCCAGACTGGACTGGCAGCTGCCAGCTCCAGACTGGCAGCTGCAGCTCCGGACTGGCAGCTGCCAGCTGCCAGCTTCAGACTGCCAGCTCAGGAGCTGCCAGGTCCGCAGCTGCCGGCTCCAACTCCAGCTCCAACTCGACTCCCGCTCCCAATGCCACTCCGCCCCACATCCCCTTGCCATCCCCGACACATCCCGACGCATTCCCGACGCATCCCTGACGCATTCCCGACGCATTCCCGACGCATTCCCGACGCATCCCCGACGCATCCCGACGCATCCCCGACGCATCCCGACGCATCCCCGACGCATCCCCGACGCATCCCGACGCATCCCCGACGCATCCCGACGCATTCCCGACGCATCCCCGACGCATCCCGATGCATGCCCGACGCATCCCGACGCATTCCCGACGCATCCCGACGCATCCCCGACGCATCCCGACGCATCCCCGACGCATCCTGTCGCATCCCGACACATTCCCGACACGTTCCTGACACATCCCTGTCGACACGTCCCCGACACATCCCGACACTTTCCCGACACTGCAGGAGAGGCCAAGAGAGCTTAAAATCCAACCCCAACACATTAAAAAACACCCCCACACATCCCGGCACATCCCGGCAAATCCATCCCCGACAGTTTACTTTTAGTGTTTTAGCGGCATAGCCGCTAAAGTTCGTCTAGCTGTCGGCCAAGCATACTCAAGTTTTTGAGCGGTTTAGCGGCCCCTGGCCCGCTTAGCGCCCCCCTATAGCGCTTGCTTTTTTTGTTGGCTGCCCCTGGGCACTATAGTCACAGAGGCGCAAAACTATAGCGGCTTAGCGGCCCCGGCCGCTAAAGTTTGCTTCTATAGCGGTTTAGCGCATGCCGCTAAAGTGCGATTGTTCAGCAGCTTAGCCCCTGGCCGCTACAGATCCTCCCTTGCGCTAAAGTGCGTTTTGTTTGGTTGGCTGCCCCTTGCCCAGTATACGCGCCAAAAAAACGGAGCCCCTTTGCTCAGCAGGCGTGCCCAAAACGGAGCCCCTTTGCTCAAGCAAATGAACAAACAATCCCTGCAGGGCACTAAAACCCGTCACAGAGGCATGGCCCGTATAGTAGTCTCTGCACTTATTTACTTCCTATATGGCCCCTGATGTTTTTACTTGAGTCTGGTCGCCGCGCCGCTAAAGGCTACATAATGCGCACGCCGCTAAGACACTGCATGCATGGGGGGGGGGGGGGATTTGAAAATATAGCGGCCTCAATGTAGCGGCCCTATAGCCGCTAAACGTAGGCGCACAAAACATGTCCATGTTTGAAGGCCAGCAGTTATCCCAGCATGTCCTTTCATCCATGCAAAAGCGCGCTGCAAACAAACGCATCTGCGGTCAAAAGCCCTGTTTGTTTTGCGGTGCGATGTGGGCTTAGCTGGATACACGCGCACGCGTGTCGGGGAGACAGCGATATACCCTTCTCCACGCACGCTCCAATAACTTAGCTAGAACTTAGCCAGAACTTAGGTCAAGACTTAGCGAACTTAGTAAGTGAGCTATAACCACTTAGCGGATGCAGTTTTGCTAAGTTAGATAACTGGGAGCTAAGTTCGCCAAATAAATCTGTACGCTAAAGTGCCATGGCGGACAGTTGATGCTCGCCACTACTGTTGTTTATACTCCTGCGACGCTACTCCCCTACTGCTACTTTCATTTGGTTTCCACAAAGTTCGAAATACGAATATGTAACTTCTTGCTGCTTTCCTGAGTACTTTGGACCCGGGGCCCTCTGTATGTAGGGGATCCTGTTTCTCAAGAAATTAAAGGGCCGCAACGCACGTAGTGTCGAAGCAACCTCATCCAGAGGAGGCTTTGCTTGTTTCGGGAAAGAGGTGTTAGCAGGGCTTGCAAGAGAAGCGCCCGCGTCTTTCGCAAATTGTTCCAGGAGCGCCCGCAAGAGCCTGCGATTAGACAGCTCCCGTGGGCAACGTGGACGCGACAGTTACAAGCGCAATATGAGTGCTCGCAATTCCTGCGCACAACAAGCGGTGCAAATATCAATGTTGTCGGGCTCAGCTTCCTAGTCAGCCTGCGTTAAGTTCATTGTAGATGGCTGGCTGTGTTTCGCGGGCCCTTCCGTTGCAAGTGCTGATCGACTTTATTCTACTTGCGGTGAAGTTGCGCGCGTCGTGCCGACGAAGGGGTTCTGGGGGAACTGTTTACGGGACTTGCGCGGTCGCATGTTTTTAAGCAGTAAACGGGGAAACGGTGAGCAACCGTCTGGGCCGTTGCGTCCAGAATTTCGGTCTGCGGGCAATTGGCTTCTGGACGCGTTCCTTATGGAGCCCGTTCCCCCCCTCCTTTAGCCCCCCCCCCTTTAAGCTTACAGGGCTTCTCTTGCAGGAGAGGAAAAGGAAGCCTTGCGGAAGCCTTGGGCTTGTGGCGGGAACACTAGAAAAGGCTCTTGGGGAACCGTGCAAAGAAGCCTCAAGGCCGCTTGGGGAAGCCTTAGAGAAGCCTTAGGGAAGCCTGAAGCAAGTCCTAGGAAGCCTTAGGAAACTTTGGGGAAGCATGTTTGCGGAAAGCTTAGGGTGATCTCTTATGACCCTAGATTAGGGGGATGCAACAGAGCAACGCAGCTCGAATCTCCAATCAATGTGTCTCTTAAACCAGCTTCGGAAGGCGATTTCTCAGCTTCCTAGCCACCCTTGGGATAGGACCAGGGGGTTGGGGGAGGGGGGGGGCGCAGGCATTCATAAGTTCCAAACCGTCTCCACCGTGGAGCCAGCTTCTGAAGTAGAACGGAACCATCCCGACCGTTGCGAACTGCTGTGGCCCCATGCTAGGCTTCAAAACATATTTGCAGCTAACATTGGAAGGCTGCGCTGATCCACACCTCGTGGACACGCCTGCGCTTCCAAGGCCCTTCCGCATTTTCACGACTGACGCTCAGTTGCGCGCACGATCAGGCACAATAGGAAACTTGTGGCGGGCTTGATGGATGATTGAAGGTACCTTCTCAACATAGTTCCATAGATGTCTTAGATATTTTCCGAGATTTCTGGGGCAGATCCGAAGAATAGTTCCGGAACCGAACCCGTTGATGCGGGAGCCGACCGTCCACCGATTCGGAGCAATTCGGGACCCCGAACCCGTCGATTTGTGAACAAAGGCCACGAGCGAAGAGAGCCCCGGGGGGCCAAACAGCGCTCCTAGTGATTGTTTTTACTTGCACTTCTGTCACAGAGGAAGTTTAGAAGGAGCCTCCATACTGCGTGAAGGGCAGTCTTGCGCACAGATAAGATGAACAAAGAATGAGCGCGTGCGAGAAAACATGCGTGGGCGTGTGGCGAGGGGAGTAGAAATCGCAGAAATCGCGAAAGATAGTGACCCGCGCGGTTTGGCGGTTCCGCGTCGATGCCAACCACCTTTGCTAAGCAATCGTTAGAAGCGACACGGAGCTAACCGGATTCGCGCGAGAAAGCCGGAAAGCCGAGAAAACCGGAAAACCAGAAAACCGGGAAACCCGAGAAAACCGAGCAGTCAAGAAAACTTCATTGCTGGCTCTCGTGGCTTTCGCTTTTTTCCTTGCAGCTTGCGCCTTTTCTCCGTTCTCCTTTGCTTGCGCTTCGCTGTCGTTGTTCTTTTTGCTTTTTCTTTTTTTGCGTTTTCGCGATTTTCGGGTTTTCGCAGTTTTCACAGTTTTGCGGTTTTCGCATTTTCGCGGTTTTCACGATTTTCACGGTTTGCGTGGTTTTCGCATTTTTGTGTTTTCGCGGATTTCGCGGTTTTCGCGTATTCGCGACGTTCGCAGGTGTTCGCTGCAAGTTTCCGTTGTTAGTATGCTTAATGGCCTTGTGTTTTGAGCCCCAGCGGTCATAGAAATAAGATATAGGTAGATAGATAGATACATTGTATTATGTTAGATTAGATAGATCGATACATAGATAGATAGATAGATAGATAAATCGATGGATACATAGCACGGTAAGATAGGACAACATGTGATAAGATTGGATAAGACAGAACGAGATAGGATACGACAAGCTAAGATAGAATAAGACAGGTTCAAGTAAGATAAGACAGGACAATGTGTGATAAGATTAAGATAAGGTAGGCAAGATAGATAAGGTCAGAGTGTTATGGGCCATTATTTTTGTGGTTTGCTGGCGAGAGAGACGATAGTTCCAACGAAAGCAAATCTGCAAGTTTGATTTCAGCAAAAGGGCAACCAAGGACCCACACATCTGAGTTCCCAAAATAGGGGCCCATTCAGGAACTGTCTGTGCCAGTGGGTTTCCTGAATGGGCCCCTATTTTTGGGACCGGGGTTTGGGGGCTTGGCACGAAGAGTCCCAATGGAGTTGGAACCTTTCAAGATTGCTGTCGTCAAAGATTGCTACTCCAGAGGCAGCAGTTGAGAAACGCACACATCCAGCCACCTGGTCCTTGTGCTACGTACCCAATACATAAGGGGTATATATAGTGTATGTATTTTTCAGCCATTAGCGGCCCATAACAAGGGCCCAAGTAAAAAACTTTAGAAGGTAGATGGGTTAAGATAGTGTGCGACATGAAGATAGTGAGGTTAAGGATGGATAGATAGATAGACAGATAGACAGCGACATGAAGGTAAGGCAGGATAAGATAGTGTGCGATGGGTTAAGATAGGAAAAATAGGGTACAAAAAAATAAGAAAGGTTAATACAGGATAAAATATTATAAGAAAGACAAGGTTGGTACTGTAAATAGGAAGATACGACCAAAGTGATATATAAGATAGATCAGATAGATAGAATAGAATAAGATAGATGCGATAGGTACGATGGGATAGATGGGAACGATCGGAGAGATGGGACAGATAGGATAGATAGGAATGGCAGGCAGGTGGGTAGGTGGGTAGGTTGGTAAACAGATCGAGGTAGGATAAGGTAGGAACGTATAGCAACGTACAAGCAGGTGGGGTAACATGGGATCAGATAGGATAAGAGAGGATAAGACGGCATAAGATAGGATAACATAGGATAGTAAGGCTAATACAGGATAAGATCGAATACGGTAGGATAAGGTAGGATACAACAAGAAAATGGGATTAGATGGGATAAGAGAGGATGAGGGTAGGATAAGACAGGATAAGATAGAGAGATAGGTAGAGATATAGACAAATAGATCGTTCGACACATAGGATAAGATAGGCTAAGACAGGGTAAGACACGGTAAGATAGGCCAACATGGGATAGATAGGATAAGATAGGATAATGCTGGACAAGGTAGGAGACGATAGGATAAGATTGGCGAAGATTGCATAGAGCAAGAAAAGATATGATAAGATAAGATAAGGTAGGTAAGATAGACTGGTATGAACGGTTTTCTAGATCTGCTATCTGGATAGGATAGATAGGATAGATGCGATCAATAGATAGATGGATAGACAAACTGCTAGATAGATCGACAGATAGGTAGGTAGGAAGATAGACATATAGATACATAGAGATAGAGATAGAGATAGATATAGAGAAATAGAAAGATAGGTGAATAGATAGACAGACAGATAGATCAATAAATAAAGAAGTAGATAGTTGGGTAGAGATACATAGATAGATAAATGGATAGACAGAATCAAAGGGTTATATCCCGCGAAAGTCGGCATTGAGGAAACGTGCGAAAGTTGGCATTTGCACGGTTTTCGCCGCTTTCATGCGTTTTCACATGTTCACAGTTTTCGTGTTTTTTTTGTGTTTTTTTGCCGTTTTCGCGGTTGTTGCCGTTTTCGCGGCTTTCGCGTTTTCTGCCGTTTTCGTGGTTTTTTTTTAATCTTCGGTTGCAAAATCCGCTTAGCGCACGTCACGAAAAAACTCGCGCAGCACCTTTGTCTCGACGCCTTTCTGGCCATTGCGCCAACTCGAAGGTTTCGCAAGGTTTGATTGTGTGGCGAGCGCAAGGTCAGATACTTTCGTATAGATACATATTTGGCGGAGCACTTTCGCAAGTTCGCGATGATCTAGGTGTTGTGGGCGGAGCACTGCCGCAAGGTTCTAGAAATGGGCAGACCCTCGACTGGTCAGGTGCAGATTTTGTGGCGCTTTCGCAAGGTCAGGTAGGTGTGGCGGGTGAACAGATAGGTAGATAGCTAGACAGATAGATAAAACAGGCGGGAGAGAGACAGATAGGTAGAAATCCGGAAAGTAGATAAAGAGATGGATAGACAGATGGAGAAGATAGACAACTGGATAGAGAGAGAGGGAGAGCACTACTACTCCAACAGTCCTCCTCGTCATGAAGCATTGGTCAAGATGTCGCGCGGGGCCTTCGGCAAAACAGTGTTTGGGCTGAGGGTAGGCCTCAGCAGTGGATTATGGTGGGTTGTTTCTTCGGTTGCTTTCGTGTTTCCGGTCATCACACCACGCGTTTCCGCCGGCAAACGGCTAGGCCAGCCACACCACAGTGGTAATGTTGGGGAAATGTCGCCTGATATTCCCCATTGAGCCTCCGCCCGGATGTCTAAATAGGCGAGCTCTACGAAGCCGTGGATGTGAATGTGACAATCACCACCTCGGATGGCTTGGAGCCTTTGCAGCGCCTGGTGAGGACAAACTGCTCAGTCCCCCAGCCTCGATTCTACCCCGTTATTTCTTGTTTTGATGCAAAAAGGGTGTCCCTTTCAACCACAAAGAGGTTTGCGTTGGGGGGAAAGGGGTGCGTCTAAAGCCAACAAATAGTTTTTGTTTGGGGAGTGGTTTCGCCTTTTCCACATGAAACTGCATGCTTAGGTTCCGCTTTGCCTGGGCGGCTTTGATGAGTGCATGCACGCGTCGGGAACTTCTGCAGTCACACAGGTGCACACGTGCACCCGGGACGCGCATATGCAATGCCAAAAGTTGTTGACTGCGGGGGAGAAGTTCGTGGCGATGATGGCAGAGCCCGAGACCTACAGGAAGCTGTCGAATAAGAAGCTCGCATGAGAGAATTTCAAAATGGACCCCCTTTGGGTTGGTACTTGAAGAGGTATCAAAAGAGAACCAACCGTTGTAGGGGATGTGCGTCACCGTTGACTTGATTAGTTTCGGACTTAAGAGTGGCTTACGTATGAGGTTGGTTTGAGGAGGAAACGCAAGGGAACTGTGCCTGTTTGGGGTTCCCCATTTTGTGACCCAAAGTCACTTTCGAATGGGTGGGTGAACCAAGCCTGTGGCCTTTGGTTCAGCAGCTCATGGACCTTCTTGGACTCTGTCCTCTTTCCTATTTGGCCGTGGCTTAGCATAGATGGACAGAACCTTTCATACCCAATCCCCATTTCATGTTCACAGGATCCATTTCGTCTTCCAGCACCCCCCCAAATTTTTTGGACACACTTGGAGCAGAAACTGGGGGCACTGGTTCCTTTTCCAGCACCCATACAATCCCTGCTTTTGAGACACCACCTGGCGGTTTGAGAAAAGTCGTTGCTGATGTCCAGAATAGGTTGTCCAGTTGACGAGTGAGGAGAATTGGTGCCCTGTTTTCCCCGTTGCCTGCCACCAGGCTTCTCAAGTTAACCCCCCTGGTCCAGGGAGCTATTCCTTTGTCATTCAACTGGGGGATGCGTTTGAGGTACATAGCTACGGCTTCGCACCCCACCCCTGGCATGGAGAAGTACTTCACCTGGCCGGTGATTGAAGACATCGCAGCCCACTGCGATCTGCACTCCGGGCTGCTGGCGATGGTGGCAGACCAACTTGTGGAAATGCAGGAGAGGCCACAGAAGGCTCAGGCAGGGTTAGTAGAAGATCAACAAGTTGGTACCAAGAGACTGCATCGGTTTTCCACCATGTATCAAAATAGATTCCCCTTCAAACTGAGGGGGGGGAACCATGTGTGCTTGGTATATCAGGGCTGCTGATTGCCTAAAAACTTTGCAGCCGCTTGCCACGAAATGACAAGGGCCCCAGGCGAACTGGAACTCTACACTCGCCGCACGGTCACGGTGAAATTGAGTCCGAGCGAGAAGTGTATCACACATCTCTTGTTCGAAATGAATCGACGAACCATCAAGGTAAAGCTAGGTGGTTGGTCGCCTTTTTAATAACCTGCCCAAGAGAGTGTTGATGCAACTAGCAAGCGCTTAGCAACCACTTGATTGTTTGTGTTCACTCGCTGGCTGCTCACTACCTGCTGACGGCTGCTATGGACTATTTCCCCACACGAACCCTCCAAATGGGTCGTTTGGCATATCATTCACATATCACAAAGGTAGTTCAGGGGTGAGCGTATCTGTATATATCTATATATACATGTACATATATATATATATGTATATGTACAGACCTACTTGGATCACAGTGCCCTTTTCAGCCCTTTCACCTCTCATGGCTCCCGTTGAGCGAGGCGATAGAGATCTTCAAAAAGCTAATCTTCAACCCCGACTTCAACGGGAGCAAGCCCCTGAGGCGTGGGAAACAGAGTCGCCCCTGGGTCAAAGTTCGTGAACATCTGGCGGCGCGATCCGGGGTTCCTGTGAACCAGTGTTTCGCTTACAATACATAGGTTCAGGTCAAAAACGCCCTTTAATCGGCAAGTCCATTCAACCCCCAAGGGTAGACTTTCGGTTCGGGGAATGGGTGGAGTGAATCTCAGATGTAGGTTAGGAAAGCCCGCCTCAGCCCAGCCGAGCGTGCAGCGTCTGCTGTTCCATTGGAAGCAGCAGAGCTGGCCAGCGAAGGAATCGCCGAGGCAAGGGCAGGCAATGAATAGGGTCCAGGAGCGAGTCATGGAGCCAAGAGCCAGCGGCGTGCTGGATGTCATGCGAGGAAGTCGCGCAGAAACGCTCGACAACCAAAGCAGAGCATTTTGCGGTAGGTTAGTGTCAGAGCTGCTGTGAGAGGTCAGCGTCAGCGCAGCGTCTGCGTCCACGGACCGGAGCTGTTGCGTAAGTACGGCGGGGGGCCGCGGCAGGGACCAGCTGCGGCTCCGGGGCCACGCGCCAGAGTTGTGGCAGCGTCTGCGTCCACGGACCGGAGCTGGTGCGCTGAAACGACCGCTTCCAGGCTTGCTTCAGACAGAATCCAGGCAGCTGGAACAAGGATATTGGCTGCGTTTGAGGCCCAAGGCTGGTTGAGCTGGGGAGGCCAGTCTCAGACAGGCCTGGCCTGCTTTTCTGACATGGAGCTGGACCGGACACAGCAGACACGGGTCGGGTGCGGGTGGCCAGCAGGAGGTCATGCTTTTCGGACCAAAAACTAGTTTTTAGCGTTCTGCCATTTGCGGCAAAAAGAGTGTGCTGGCAGTCCCAGACACGTCAGACTGGCCAGTAGGAGGCATTTGCGGCCACATGGAGCTGGAACCTCGAAAATTTCAAGGGTCACCGGACAGGATCTTAGGGCCAGCAGACATGGGCAGAAATCTTGGGAAGGGGAAAAGCGATTTTTTTGGGAAACAAGATCTGAGCGCCCTTGGCCCCCTTGGGGCCGATGCGAATTTGGCACAATTCCATGTTGATGTTCACGTCCTTTCAGGTCAGCTTCGAAAGGTGCAGGTTTGTTGCAATAAACCATTCGTGTGGATTTTGGGCATCTTCTGCGTTCCTTGTGCAACACCCCAAAGCTGATTTCAGGTGTCCGAAAAGGTCAGTTTGGTTGAACATAAAGGGATTCGCATCTATTGGTCCAGGGCAAGGTGTCCAACCATAGTCTCCTTGCAGGTGTTCGAAGCTGGTGCATTGAACCAAACCCACTTTGAACAAAGCTGGTTCCAGCAATGTGTTTTTGTTTTTTCTTGTGAGGTGGGAGGTGGTTGCACCTTGGCAACTATCTTCTTGCTGCATGGCTGTTGGCTCCGCACAATGCCCTAGTAGGAACTTTGGAACAGTGGGTGATCTCAAGTTGAAGTTGGAAAGGGTCAGCTGGTTCTTTCACCACTCAGTGTGTTGTACACATCTCATGGTCACCAATCTAAAGGGAACTTAGTTGTCATCTTCCTGGCGGTTTTTGATGGGTCACATCGCCAAGCCAGGGACGATTCGCTGCTCCTCTTGTTCAAAAACGACCTGCCCACGCACTACATGAGCTTGCAGGAGTGAGTTCCATCTGTTTTGCCCATGGACCCGGTGACCCGACTTGTTGAATTGGCTCAACCTTGGCGGGTTTCCTCATTTTAGTCGTGGCCCAAAAAGTTTCAAGCTTGTGTCAGTCAAATCAGCTCAGAATCTTGGCTTGCCATGGTGCCTTTGGGGTATCCTTCAGCAGTTCCGTGGTTTCCGCCATGCCGAGGGGCCACAGAAATAGGCTACATAGGAACTGGCATGAACCCCAAAGATTCAATCAAAGAGCCAAAGGTCAATTGATACGGGCCTTTGAATCCAAGTTCCCTGATTTGATCAATAGTTAAGGGAGTTGCTCTAAGACACCTTCCGGATATTCGACGGGAATTTCGACACCAATTGAATGGCCAAACATGGGAGTCCAACCAAGTTTAGGAACAACCCGCTATGGACGGTGCTGAACGCCGACTGCCCTTTAGATTATCTACGCTGGTAGGTTTTGATTGTGACTTATCTGGGCCAGTG